ACTATACTAATCTCTATCTATATCTATTTTATAATATTAAATACGTATATAGCTTACTAGCCTACCTTAAAAAGTAGTTCTAGAGAGCTAAACGCAGTACTATATATATAATTATTTATAATTAACTCTAGATACCTTAACTACTTAGAAAGGGTAGGAAGAAAGGCCTATATAGCTAGAGCCTTATTATTATCTTTAAATACTGTAGTAGTTTAATAGATTTAGGATAGGCCTAGGCACTAGAGGTAAAGAATAGCTAGAATAAGGTTACTAAATATATAAGAGTTTGTTCTTATAGAAAAGTTATACTAGAAGAGTTTTATAATCCTTAGAGTATTCTAGTTTATAAGGAATTTAGTTATGCTTATATAGAGAGATTTTTAAGTATATAGTCTATCCTTTAGTAAACACTGCAGCCTAGTAGCTATTAAGTAAGTAATCTTCTAGATAGGAAGAATAACCTTAAATATATAGGCCTTATAGCTATTTATACTGTCTAGGCTATTATATCTATCTAGGAGATATTTCTAAGTTTCTTAGTACAGCTTATATATAAGATAGTATATTACTAGTATCTATATACTCTTATATCCTAGCAAGTCTATACTACTTATAAATATAAGATTAACCTCTAATTAAATAAGAGTAATCTTCTTTTATAATAGTATATTAGTAAATACTCTAAAGAAATAGTAGATAGCTAACTAACTACTTACAGTATATATATTAGAATACTTTACTAATTATAAAGATAGCTTAAAGCTAAACTAGTTATTAGCTAGATATAGAATAGAGCTAAGATCTAAAGAAGGTAATCTTTACCTAGGTAAACTATAACTACTTCTAGGATCTAGCGTAGATCTTATAGGCGTTTAAGAAGAAATATATACTTAGGAAGGAACTAGCTTTAGTAGGCTTAAAGAGGCCTTATAACTCTTATTTATCTAGACTTATCCTTAAGAAGGTGTACCTAACTATAAAGTTATAGTTATTTGCCTCCTTTAGGTTAGAGTATAGCGTTACTAAGGAGTAGAATAATTCCTAGCTTAGAACTATTTTTTATATTAGGCTAGCAAAGTCCTAGAAGGCCTATAGCTTAGTATTTATTGTATTAGTAGAGGTATATATTACTAATCTCTATAAGTTAAACTAGGAGAGCTTATTTAAAGTATAGTAGTTATAAAGAAAGGTCTCTATCTATAAGGACTTAAAAATACTACTAGTAAAGACTTAGGTTAGCTACTCTTATACTAAAGTTATAATTATAGGATTTCTTATTCTATATATTATTATCTTTTGTAGTTATCCTTAGTTATAGGGATAGGAGAATTAGCATTCCTATCTATACTATTACTCTAGTATATAAGATTAATATTAATATTAGACTCTTCTAGTTAAGACTAGTTAGAGCCTAAGTAGTTACTAGAGGAATTATTATCTAACTAGTCTAAAAAGAGAGAGCCCTCTTAAAGAGAATAAAGAGTTAAGGATAAAGAAAGCTAGGTCTAGAAGATAATAGTAAGTAACTAGTATAAAACTTAGGGCTAGACTAATCCTTTAACTTTATAGAGTAACACTGTTTATACTTCTAAAGAAATCTACTATTAATATAGAGTAGTATAAAGATAAAGTAAGGGAGAAAGCTTTCTCTATAATAGTAAATAGAGATAGGTTAGCTATAGTTTAAATAGTAATAATAAGGAAAATAAAAAGAAGACGTAGAAAGTTATATAAACTTATTATATATAGGTATAGTCTACTAAGTAACGCTTAAATTAGTAAATTAGCTTTTAATTATCTACTTTAGTTTATTTATTATAGTTTATAAAACAAATAAAGAATATTAATAAATAGATATAAGTTAAAAGATAAGTTATAATAGTTAAGAAAGAAATACTACTATATAACTATATTACT